ACTTAAGCCCTAGGAGGTTAAACATGGCATATGGATCATTTATAGAAAGTGCTCTCACATACAATATTGTCTCATGGTTTGGTAACACAACACTTAAACAGAAGAAGAAATGATCGCAAACTATCAATCAGGCAAATGAGATAACTGGTCACAAACAACATTTGCTGCAGATTCTATTTGACTCTTTTATGGAAAAAACTGCAGTTGTGATTTTTAAAGATAATACACATCCCTTTCACTCAGCTTTTTAAGTCTTACCATCAGGCCTTCGGTTTAGAATTCCTAAAGCCAGAAGAAATGCTAATAAAAAGTCATTTGTCCCAATTGTTTGATGTGAATGAGGTCACTGTCAAGAATGATCTGCAGTAATATGTGTGGGACTAATTTTAGTTTTAAAATTTTTAACTTATGTTGTTGTCTTGGTGAGTGTTGCTATTGTGTGAATGTATGCAGTTGTTGTCTTAAATCCAGTGCTAAAAGACAACTTTCGTTTCTGTGCCAAGCAGAACGGACAATAATGTTTAAACTAAACTAAATAAATACAAACCAAAGGGAAAAAAAATCTATCAATAATAATAAAAACAAACAAACAAATCAACAAATTAATCAATCAAAATAGGGAAAACTATGCTACCATGAGATGAATAAAACAGTCTAGTTTTATTGCAAACTCCATTGTTACAGAACAGATCTTCATTTTTATTACGTGTAAAAAATTTGAATGCTTTCGCACATTCTGTAACTCAGCCATGCAGTCACTGAAGGTCGCTGCTTTTTTTTTTCAAATCTTTTTTTTTTTTTTTCAATCTTTCAAAAATGAATACAGCTAGTAAGCACAGCAGGGCAAGCTAGCCTTGATCCACCACAAACTGCACTGAAAGAAGCCCAGTTCTCTGGATTATCGCTGGAAGCAGTGACTGCAAACTGTGGGGCAGTGGAGAAACTTGGGCCAAAAAGTGTCACAATCCAGAACCACCCCGGGTTCATTGTTCTGACTCCTTTTGTGGCTGGACGCCACTGTACTAAGGAATCTGGAAAAGAAAGGCTCCCTAACAGTCGGTCATGCACCAGTGCTTTTGGCAACAACAAGTCCATGGCCTATATTGCCTTCATTTTTGCTCTGGCGGCTGTGTCCCCACAACAGAAATCCCTATTACTGGTTATAGAACGGGCTTTATTAGAGAGTGGAGCTTTGAAGGGCAGAACAAAAGAGTGTCCTATGTTTAGATTAGATAATGTAAGCAACCGCTTTTCTGCATGGATGACACTACACAATAAGCCACCTCATGAATACTAGCCAGCCCCGATCCTAGGGTTCTTTTTTGTTTCATAATTACAGCAAGAAAAATGAAAAAAGAAAACCTAATCAAATGCGGTCTGGTCTGTCACTAAATCACGCTTATCATTAACAATGGGGATAATGGCTGTGCGCGTTCTGATTGCCTGAACGAACGGCTGGTGATAAAATCTCAAACTGCGCTGGTAAGAAAACTGGCTGCGTATAGGCAGAAATATCCAAGGAAACTTTCCAAACAAACAATGCAATAATATTTCTTCGCACAACATGTTCTCCCCAATGAATCTTCATAATGAACAACTTTTAATAAGAGCACATGACGCTTTCAGGCCTGTCAGCACAATTCTGTCAGCTGGATTACAATTTTTTCCGATATTCATTTTGTATTCCAAAGCAATCAACGAATCGGCATGCGATGTGGGCAAACGGCTAGAAAAATCGTGGGAAAAACATGATGAAATACCAGCCTGTTAAATAAATCATTTCTACAAAATCATTTGTCTCTCAAACTCATTTGACAAATAAATACAAAGGCACCCAAAACCTTTGGGCACTTTAACATCTGGAAACAAATGAGTTTTTTTTTTTCATTTTACCAAAAAAACATTTTACAATCTTTTGTCTGAGGAGTTTTTCTTCTACAGCTCTTTGATATAAATGCCATTTTGTTTAATATGTTCATCAGAAACACATATGTCTGGTTTAATACCATTCAGGCAGACAGTATAAAAATAATTATAGAACATTAAATTGAACAACAGACAGACTGACAGATCATAAAATGATAACACAATGGAACAACAGAATCACAATAAGATTAAAGAAAGGAATCATAGCAAGAAAAATAAAGAAAAAATGACAAATATAACAGAAATAACTTTAAATAAATGAATAGAATGAAAAACAGATGGATGAAATGAAAGTGGACGAAACACTAGATAGATCTCTGAAATGATAGACAGAGGAAAGAACGACATATAGAACACTAGATTGAATGCAAGATATGGAATTCTAGATATATCACCGCAATGAAAACAGAATAGATAAAATGATAGATAAATACTAGGGATGTGACGGTATCAGAATTTCACGGTACGGTAATACCTCGGTATGAATGGCACGGTACGGTATTTATTGAATAATTTACAGGAAAAACAAAACTAATGAAAATACTCCAAAAAAGTGCCAAAAGTGTCAATGACATACAAATTAGCCATCTATCTGTAAGCTTTGAAACAGGAATTTCAATTTTAATAACAAAAAATTATTAAACCATGTAAAAAAATAAAGTTTCAATGGTCACACTTTACAATAAGGTTCATTAGTTAATGTTAATTAATGCATTTACTAACATGAACAAACAATGAACAATACATTTACTTCAGTATTAGCTTATGCTAGTTAACATTAGTTAATGAAAATACAGTAGTTCATTGTTAGTTCATGTTAACTCATGGTGCATTAGCTAATATTAACAAGCATGAACTTGGATGTTAATAATTCATTAGTAAATGTTCAATTATGATTAATAAATGCTGTACATGTGTTGTTTATGATTAGTTCATGTTAGTAAATGCATTAAGTAATGAACCTTATTGTAAAGTGTTACCGTTTCAATTTAGTATTGTTGAAAACTCATCACATTCAACATTTAATCACTCACTCACCCACTCACTTAGATAGAGATGGGTTTTAAGGAAAATTATCATATAACTATAATCTGGTAAAAGCTGGTATCTCTGGGCATTTACAATGTCCCCTGCAATAGAAAAAACCCCTCTCATTTGGGACTGAGGTTTCTGGGACAGAGATATGACTTGGCCCAGGTTGACAGCAGTGGGTAACGTTGTGCATTGTCTTTGCCCCACTTGAGAGGACAAGCCATGAGTGAGATAGAGGTCTCTTTGCAGTATAAGTCAATGTCTGCATCAATCTGAACAGTGTGCTGTATTCTGCAGTCTCCATGACTGTTATTAGTCGTATTCCACAACTTGTATTTCACCACAGTCTGGCAGTGCCTGCATACCAGTTTTTTTTTGTCTGTCACCTTTTCTCCTTTCTCTTATCTTTTTAGAGAGAAACCGAAATGCTTCCACACATCCGATTTAAAACCCGCCTTGGGTTCGATCATTTCCACCTTTTTTTATCCCTGCTACTAGCAGAACACTCCATTTCCACATTACTGGATCTGTAGCGACAACAGACCGCAAAGGATGATGGCCACGCCTGGGCTGATGGGAAATGTAGTTTCCGCTACCTCTCGTTCGCTTCATTCGCCTGAGCAAATTTTCTCAGAAGACCTATAGTTTTATCGAGTCATGCGACTATGGTAATACTACCGCAATACTACGGTAATTGCTATTGCGGTATGACGGTATTTACAATACCGTTACATCCCTAAAAGATACTGTAGATAAAACATCAGAAAGATGATATGGCAAAGATAAAAAAAAATGACAGAACAATTCATGGAAAGATAGAAAGGTAGATAGAATGATTTGCCGACAGATAAAATAATATTACAATAAATAGATCGGTATTACACTGTAACAATAGCTACAATAGAACGATAGAACGATGGAAAGAAATAACAATAGATTAATCTAACAAATGATAGAACGCTCAAATGAACGATAGAGCAGTCTAATAAAAGATCCAACGTTGGGTAGAATGACCTAACGAATGATAGAATGATCTAACAAATGATAGAGCTATCTAACAAAAAAATAGAATGATCTAACGACTGAGAGAGATATCTAACAAAAGATAGAATGATCTAACGAAAGATCTATCATACTACAGAATGATCTAAATGTTAGAGCAATCTAACGAACGAAAGAACAATATAACAAAAGATCTAATACAGGACAGAACAATCTAATAATCGATAGAGTGATCTAACAAAAGATAGAATGATCTAACAAAAGATCTAACAAACGAAAGTATGATCTAACAAATGATAGAGCAATCTAAGAAATGATAGAATGATCTAAATAAATATCTAACAAACTACTGAACAATCTAACGAAGAATACAACAATCTAACGAACCATATACCAAACAATAGAGTGAACTAACAAATGATAGAATGATCTAACCAATGACAGAATGACAGACCAATTTAACAAATGATAGAATAATAGTATGATCTAACAAACGATAGAATAATAGAACAATCTAACAAACGATAGAATAATAAAACAATCTAACAATTGATAGAATAATAAAATGATCTAACAAATGATAGACCACTCAATAGAATGGTCAACTGATACAAATGATTGATCAATAATAAAATGATCTAACAAACGATGGAATAATAGAACAATCTAACAAACGGTAAAATAATAGAATGATCTAACAAACGATAGAATGATAGAACAATCTAACAAACGATAGCATAATAGAACGATCTAACAAACGATAGCATAATAGACCAATCTAACAAACAGTAGAATAATAAAACAATCTAATAAAGTTAAAATAACAGAACAATCTAACAAACGATAGAATAATAGAATAATCTAACAAACGATAGAATGATCTAACAAACGATAGATTAAAAGAATGATCTAACAAATGATAGAACAATCTAACAAATGACAGAACTATCTAACAAACCACAGAATGATAGGAAAATTTAACAAATGATAGGCAGAAAGAATGATAGACAGATAGATAGATAGATTGACAGATAGATAACCTGGTCATGGCTAGCTGGAATGGAGCTCCCAATGCCGTGAAAGGTCATCTGCACAGGTGAGAGGGTCAGGTAAGTCATGAACTCTTTGTCAGTTTGCCGGTCTGAGTACTGCACCTGCAGGATAAGAGAAAATAAAGTATTAAATATTTAATAATGTATTTTACAGCACGTACTGTTCTGCATTCATGACCTTGGAAAACTTGTGTGGGAAAACTATGAACTGGATCCTCGAACTTGACTTGGCAGGTGGTGCTCAATTCTACTGGATACCAGCAGTGGTTTTAGATTTTGATCTTCGTCCTAGTCAATGCTTCACAAACTATGCTTTTTTCAAGCGCTCTGACAGGGAGTGATACAGTGATTTAGCGGAGAGCTTTGGCCCCGTTTGGGGTTTCTCAGAACACCTCTGCATGTCAAGCTCTACTCAGCAACACCCAATGGTTTGTGTGTGTGTGTGCGCGCGTGCTGTGTGTAAGGATTTTGCACTATCCCATGCCACTTTGATCATGTAATGCCTGACCTATATACATATTATCTGCATTTAAATATTTTATAAGCAGAATAGTGAATGAATATGAAATAATCTTCAAGATTGCTTTGGTGGTGTTTTTACAGAACAAATTAGTTTTGGGAAGACACTCTTTTAAAACACTCTTCTATGTGTGAGAAACCAGTGGGTGTGGATCTATACATTGTACACATTTGGGAAAAAGTGTCAGTTGTTTCACAGCTATACCACACATGGCTTCTGGATGGCTGGATAAAATGTGTGACTGACTGCTTCCAGAAAGATTCCAGAGAAATATAGTTTAGAGTAGTGTTTCTCAAAGTCCAGACCAATCTCCATTTCATATTTCAAGATGTATTTAAGATATAATTGAGTGTAAGGGAATAAAACTGTGGATTTCATACAGTAAGAATTGAATATTCAAGTTCTAAATCATATGATTTGTTGTTTCTTTTTGCCGATGGTTTGAAATGAAAGCAAAGTGTAAGATATATAAAATTGTCCCATGTGCCTTTGTTTTCAAGACAACCAAGTCTTCACCGAAGTGAATGTTTTGGATGGGTGCATGAAAGTTTTCAGAAAGAAAAATTGCCAAAGAAATTTGAGTTTTAAAAGATGTTTGGACCGAGGTATGCGTTCATTTTGTTAAATAATTATTTCACTTTTGCACTAGTAATTAATGTATTTTTAAGCACAAAGGGTATTTTAATCGATTTTACTGGTTGATTTGTTATAATTATGTCATACCTGTCAACGTTTTTTTGCGCAATTCTCCAGTATTTTACAGTTCTATCCCGCTATCATCCCGTAAAGGTATTTTCCCATATTTCTCCCATATTTTCAATCTTTCTATGAAGGGGTGCAATAAACATTAAAGAGCCAATCCTCCCTATACGCAAACCATACCGCTGAACCACAAGGGGATGCCCCTCACTCTTAAATGAAAAATTAATGTGAATCTGTTCTTCTGTGCTTTTGTTTTATTTAGGCATAAAAACATTGTAGATATCCTATATTTTGACGGCCCATTGTTGACAGGTATGGATTATGCATGTTTAAAAAATTTTTTTCTTTTGTTATAATCAATTTTTTCACGCTTTTGGCATTGATGAAAATTCAGATTTGGGACCTTTGAAATAAGCATCTGAGAACCCCTGGTTTAGAACAAGACAATATGAATTACACACAAGTATCTTTGGAAACATATATACAGACACAAACAAACATAACTGACAGATGCATAGCTCAAAGACAATCTGACGGGTTGATTGTCCACAGAGAAGATAAAATGCAATTAAAAGAAATATTCTGTCATGTGGCAGTACACTTAAAAATGTCCTTGATATATTACTGAACACCATTTTTGTTCAACTGCCACACTGTTTAACACTACATGCAAAGAGAATTAAAAGACTTTGTTAGAATACCAACAGACATGAAATAAATGGGGGGGGAAAGACAGATCGACAAAATGACACAACAGGTGAGTATATGATAGAATGATGGATGGATAGAGGGAAATATGGATGGATGGAATGAAGGATTTAATGATAAATGGAATGTGGGATGGAATGACTAAAAAATGGATAAATGGATGGATGGATGGATGGATGGAATGATAAATAGACAGAAAGAATGCAACAATGGATGGAATGGATGGGCAAAACGGACGAACAGATGGAGGGAACAATGGATGGATGGATGGAACAATGGATTTATGAAACCAATATAGATTTCAATATGGATGGATGAAACAATGGATGGATATAACAATGGAATGAAGGAACGATATACATAGATGGAGCGATGAATGAATGGATGAAACAAAGGATGGACGGATGGAAGAGACAGACAGACAGACAGACAGACAGACAGATACATAGATATTTTTAACTGTTTTAACTGTATCCAGAATCACATTATTGCAAAGAACCAATTGAATGGCAGACTAACACTGTAGACAGAATGACAGAATAATAGTTTATAGGATAAAATTATAAACAGAACAACAGATAGATGGCGAGATGAGTTCATTCATTTAGAACTCTTAAGCAGTCAGTGCATGAAAGTGAAATGTTCAGAGATAAAAAACAAATCAATGACTGCAGCAGCTGAAAGACTCAAGGAATCTTTCACTCCATGAAAGCGTTTATGTTTAGTTTCCAAGTGGTCTGATGTTCCAGATCCATAGGGCATTCCACTCTGAAGAGTGTTTTAAAGACAATGTTAACAAGCACAATGCGTGATTGGCGTTCACAGCTCCAGGAAACAGGAACTCTGACATAAACATCTAGAGTCTGGTAAAGAGGAGTAATGACCGGCTTCAGTGAGTTTATTTTTTACACCAACAGATCATGCTCTGTTATTAGGGGTTGTGAATTTAGTGCATAAAGTCTCCAAATGTGTGCCCAAAAAAAAAAAAAAAAAAAAAAAAAAAAAAAAAATTCCAAAATCATTTTTATTGGCAATTGAATTTAAGCAAATACGTAACTAATCATACTTGTAATATGCTTAGTAACTGAAAAGGGGGTTAACAGTATTGAGCTTAAAATGTTTTATTTTTTTGTAAGTTTAAAACTGCTTAAAACTAGGTTTTCCTGCCAACTGAATTGATTGACAGCTGCGTATTAACATGTCTCTGTAGTAACGCGTATAATCATATCAACAAGACAGGACGTGAAGCAATGCAACTGAAATTAAAAGATCTGTTCAGCTCTCTGTGATTATCAATCATCATCAAATGTAATCAAATTAGTTTTACAAGTTTAAAACCTTTTTAAAACAGTGCATGTTTGTAATGAATTACAGCAATTTTACCATTTTTACTTAAGTCACATGTCAGTATAATTTTAAAAGAAGATGCTTCAATCCCGGTTTGTGAATGTTAAATCAGGTTTATTTTGTGCATTAACATAACAGATATCTATACAGCAGTGGATATTAACGGATATCCATGCAAAAACAGTGCAAAGTTAAATTCACGCACTGTGTGTCAGAGTTTGCGTTTACAATGTACTGACCTTGTGTGTGACTCATCGTAGCAGAAAGAACTGAATTAACTCCACAACATATACATCAAATAAACAAAGGAAAAATTCTTACTGTAGTATTTCTCACAAACATTTCGCAAGATTTGCTTCCTTCATGTCTGTCACTGAGCTGTTTATCTGATGCAGCAGAAGACAGAGACGCACTCTGACAGCAACATGAGAACAGTGGGCAGGGAGAACTAGCTCACTTGCATTAAAGGAATAGGCAAAAAAACAGCTACAATGCACTCAAAGCAGAAAATTCCAATAATCTGAAAGGTATAATAAATAATCTGATGGGTGTTTTAAGCTGAAACTTTATAGACACATTCTGGAGACACAAAAGACTTTCCTTAAATCTTGAAAAAAGGGGTAAAACAGGTGTCCTTTAAGGAGCAGTTCAGTAAAAAAAGTAAAAATATTCATTATGCATTGATACATTTAGTGACCCATTATATTATATCCCTATATAACATCAAACTTAAAAATACATAAACATATTTTTTTCTTCAATAATGGTGTTTCACACCCATTGTGTTTTACTGCCTATTTGTCACCTTACTATATATACATAAAATAACAATAATACACCTGGGCCAAATGAGTTTCATATAAATTACTCTAATGTGTTTGAGATTTAGCGCAAACACACCGCTGACTGTGTATCCGTTAGCAGTGCTGGGTTTGATTTAAAACTTTTCCTAATGCACTTAATTGTGGTGAAGTGTCGTCACTTTGAGAAAATAACTGCGGGCCACCATCAAACTCAACACACCCAGATCAGTGCCAGCTTCCTGTCAGCCTCAAGATTCATCTCCCTGACAAAGTCTGTTTTCAAAGATCGCTCCTCACAAAAACACACCACAGCCATACAGCTGGGCTCCATCAGAACCAAGCAAAAATCAGACCGTAAGGGATTAGCACGTCTAGCATGTGTTAGCTAATGAAAATCCCAGCGTAAACACCCGCTTCAGGAACAGAGAAAGGGCAAGAGGGACAGAAACAAACCGTCCTGTTCTTTGATGCCTAGACAGGAGATGCGTTTGATGTCGTTGGTGTATAAGATGGAGATGTGCGGTGGAAAAGATGTCAAGCCAAGTGTAGGATGCTGCCAGTGCTATTTGAAGTGCTTTTCAAAAAACAATGGTGTAAGAAAAACAATAAAAAAGAGAGAATAAACTGCGTCATGAGGCAGAGTTTTTGGCCCAGATGTTCAAAACATACATCATCTGAGAGTCTTTATTTTCATTAAAGTGGGATTTGCTACATAGCGAGGAAGAATAAAATTAAAACAAAATGGAGGATTCCCTCTTTGACTTAAGCACATGGTCTAGCGATCCTTATCTGAATAATATTTCTGGCGGATTTAACACACGAGTACGTCCGATAACATCATATTGCTTGCATATACACTAAACCAGCAGTTGAAGTCATAAAATGCCTTTGTTTATGCTGTATAACATATGCATTAAAAGAGATTGTCAATATATATATGATGCAGGTGTTGCTTTTTATTGTCCATTTTCTTGCACAGCTGTAAGGACTGGTATACTTCAAATTAAATCGACGAATGAAAT